AGGAACAGCTAAATGTTTGTTTTCACACGTTATTGAGATTGGATGAGGATAAGAGGAATGTACAGTTAAGTGTCCTCAGATTGGCAAATACTACAGCAACTGAATAGCACTTAGGAAGAAATCCCACAGAAAAAACTCTCAATTTGTCCATGCTATTGTGTTAAAACAAGTTTTAAGGTTTTTATTTTATCTTTAGTTGGTGCAACCTCGTAAAAAAATCTTTTGATAAAAATGGTATTAACTGAAAAAGTAATAGAATGGTTGCAAATATTGTGATCACTTACCCCTTCTAATTTCTACCCTGAAAAATGTATTTTGGTGGTATATGTCTTAAAAGTATGTATAATAAATGAATTACTCTATGGAAAGAGAATGTAGCCATTAAACATATTTCTTGCGACTTGTTGAAATAAATACATAAATCTGCCCTGGGACATCCTCACAGCATTTGCTAGATTCTGCGTTTTTCACTAAATAGTTAACTCTTGTAATTTCTAGTTACTTTATGAATGAAAGACACATTAACCTAGAAGGGCTTCAATGGCATAATTTCTTTTAATTTCTCATAATTGATATGGCTTGGGACGGGTGGCAAGGTAGTATTTTAAAGCTTTGTTCTGATGCAGTATAGTTGAGTTCCCTTATTGATGTTGGCAATCGTTATTCTTTAGTTCTGTGTGGAACAGATGACAGTGAGCTTCCTCTTGCTGCCTTCTTGTTTTCTGGTGTACTGTTATTTTTTTTTACTGTTCAGTTACAAATTAGGTCAGTTATTAAAATATCATTGATCATTTCCTTTGACAACACATTGGCATTGATGTAACACAATAGAATTTGGTGGAAAGGTTAGTCTCATTTCTCTGGCTGCTGTCAGTGTATGTGAGCATATTATATCCTTCAGCTTTCTGGAAATGCTCTGTTTGACTAGGTGCTTGGGAACAGGAAGTCTGAGGTTATACATAGTGGCTACGTCTACACTGGCCCCTTTTCCGAAAGGGGCATGTTAATTTCACAGGTCGTAATAGGGAAATCCGCGGGGGATTTAAATATCCCCCGCGGCATTTTAAATGCCGCGGGGGATATTTAAATCCCCCGCGGATTTCCCTATTACGACCTGTGAAATTAACATGCCCCTTTCAGAAAAGGGGCCAGTGTAGACGAGCCCAGTATGTTTGCTTAGTTTCAGACTATATGACGCAAGCTCTGTTTCCTAGAAAACGCTGTGTACAGGATAGTATTTTGTAGACTACTTTATTACGTCAATTAAACTTAAATGAACATAGCTTGATAAAAATGATGATCAGTTCTGAGGGTTTTCATAATTACTTCTCTGGTATTTATCTTAACTTATAGGGCTGTCATGACTATAGTATCTGTGCACCTCACAAGTGATAATGTACTTCTCTTCACTACACTCTGTGAAGTAGGAGAGTACTGTTATCCCTGTTTTACAGATGGGGAGTCTATGGTTCAGTGTGATTTTTCCCAAGGTTGCACAGGAAATTTGTGGCAAAGCAGATAATTTTACCCTGGCCTTTGGAATCACAGACTAGCAACTGACCACTGGACCATTCTTCATGCCAAGATCACAAGTCGGCTCTCAACTGTAACTGGTGTGTGTGTGTGTGTGTGTGTGTGTGTGTGTGTGTGTGTGTGTGTGTGTGTGAGTGACAGAGACATACACATAACTTCTTTAGCATAGTCACAGGGCAACTTTTTCCAACAAGAGGTACTCTCAAACCTCTTTTATTTAGCGACCCTGGGAAATGGGGATTAAATGTTTTGCTGGGCCAGGGAGAGTGCTGCAGAGTCAGGAGTCAGAGTTGGGGGCTTACCTGCCATCCGGCTCCCAGAGACATACGTGGCTTTGCGCTTTCCGCCACTTCCAAGCACCACTCCCTGCTGCTATGGGACCAGTGAGAAAAAGCCTTAGGGGAAGCAGCTTTGCGCAGTGCCATTCCTTCTGCTGGCGGGGGGCAGGGAGTAGGAGACGGTGTGGTAGCAGCAGTGTGCAGAGCCACTTCTTCCTCCGTACCACAAGTGTTCCCAAATTAGGGACAGCCAGAGTATTGAGGTTTAAGTATATTATAAATCTGCCAGTCCCTGACCTGCTTCAGATACACACTTTGGATTTAACTATTCACTTAGGCCAGGCTTGTCCAAAGTCCGGCCCACGGGCCAATTGCGGCCCGTGTTCTGGTTTAATATGGCCCCACAGGTAATTTGGCAATATCTATCTTTTAAGGCCCCCAACAAATCCACATGTATTGAGATGAATACATTGTAAAATCTCAGTTAATGTCAGTTGGTCTAAATCAGTTATAAATATATTTGGACATAACATGTATACTTGGTGTTATGTTCCTGTTCATATTTTTTGAACTTAAAAGTTGACAGACAACCTTTATTACCAATAATATGTAATGTACTTTACAATGTTCCTGACATATATTTCAGCTTCCTGGATTTTTTTTTCATCTGGCCTTCAGATATGAAAGGCAGACTGATGTAACACCTGTTTAGATTTGTCATCCATGTGACGAAATGAAAAGTATGCCGTTTGCAATAAACTTTGCATAAAATAGTTAATTTGCATTTAATTTTAATGGTTCAAAGACTGTCAGGCAAAATGGTCGGCCCTCACGCATGTTCACTTCATCAAATCTGGCCCTCTTTGAAAAAAGTTTGGACTCCCCTGACTTAGGCATTCTGATTTCACGAACTTGTATCTGTTTAGGCAAGATTGGGGTCTATATATTTGAAGAATGAAGCCAGTCTTCCAAAATCCAGTTCACCCACTCTATTTTTAAGTGAGTGGCTGGTACGTCATCATTATTTTATTTTTATTTTTCTGATTATGAGTGGTGAATAGATATTGCAGCATTGCCAATCCCAGGCATTCAAAAATCATGAGTCAGGCCCCAAACAGTCAAGATTAGAGGTTTATCAGTAATGAGGGTTTTTTTTAAAAAAAGATGTGTTGTTTTAATTTCCCTTGTGGCTTTTGAGCCATTAGGGTATGCATGATGCATATTTTCAGGCTCTTTTCAACAGCCATAATTTCTAGAAAAGTCTATAATGAAAAGCCAAGGGCCTCACAAAATCTCAAAAATCCTCCAGGTTTTGGGGCTTGAAGAAAACACCAAATATGCAACTTCAAATCAAATCAAATCAAATCAAATTATGAGAGTTAATAATACTGATTTTATGCCTATCTTGGTAAACTTAATGACAATTTTGCAAAGAAAGGATCTTGATGTTTTACAAAATCATGGTATCTTTCCTTATGACAGAATGTAATCATGTTTTACTTTGGATTATAGCATTCAAAACTAGGAAATATCTTTTTAACAATTTAACATTTACATCTTTTTCCAGATAAGTGCTGAAGTGGCACAAAGAGAAAAAATACTTGCAGGGGAAAAAAAGCGAAGTTGCCATATATACTGATGTATTCAGTTCCTATAAAAGTAGTCTCAGGATGCGTATTATATTTAATAACCTGAGAGAAATGGTCATATCTTTATGAAATGTATCATTAATACATTTGTGCTGATGTAGTGTTCATATGGAACTGTGAGCTCATGTCTGGATAGCCATAGAAGCATCCCCTTTCCATTTCCAGAATGGCAGAATAGATATATTACACCGCTAATTTTTATTTTGCAAATCAGAACTATAGAGCCTTCCCTTTGTTTAGCCTATGTGTATTTTTAATGGGTGAGGGTTTTATCATAATATTTTATTAGTACTTATTGTCCTTGGCGATGTACAAAATATAATACATATGATTTGGGGGCAAACTTAAATCATTTTATGAAAATGTGGGTTACACAAACAAATTTTGATATACATTTGAATATAAAACAGTCATTTGTTTTTTTTTTAAATAAGAGCAAAGCCTTTTCTACCCTTTTTTTTTTAGCTTGTGAAATGTTACATACTAAAAAAACAATTTGTTCTACTTGAGAATGTTCAGAAATGTCAATGTGTTTTTATTCACACTTGCAGATTGTATATATTTAAAATACTGATTACAGGTAGTTAATATTTCCATGTTAAGAGTAATTATAGGTTCTTTAGATGCTTTGAGTGGAGATGCCTAAGTTGAAGGGGCAGAGAGGAGACTGATTATTATTTATTTAGATTTCAAATAAGACATCTGTTCCAATCTTGAAACACCATAACATAATTAATGATATAACAAATACAGTTAAATTATATCTAACATCTATTAGCTATCCCATTGTAAAATCTTAGTAAATACAAGTCCTTATAGATTTTCCACAAGCTAAACTAGGTGAGGTCATCTGCAGCCAAGGGTATAGCGTTGACCTCCCTAGCTACTCTGTTGTAAGAACTACACTAGGATATTTCAGTGGGATACTTAAAGTACATTTGTTATCCTAAGGGGAGATCCTCCCCTCCACACACACACACTTTTTACTGTGAGGACACATTCTTAGCCTAACTTGAGTTTGAGCAGCCTCATCTGAAATACTTGAGCTGCACAGGTCAGCCAAATCAAGTTTAAAAACACTAACATAGAAGTTAACATTTCTTGTGTGTGGATGGCACCTGATTAAAGGGCAACCTTCAAATTAACTCCTCAGTGACAACAAGCCCTTAGGGGTGTTGTTGAGGCAGCTGGATAGAAGTTTGCTCTGCTGTTGTCCATTCTGTACTGTTCTATGAATAAGCAGAAAAATAGGATTTCCATGGTGTTATGAATTTGGTATAGTCACTGGAGTTAGTTTGAGTTAGTGATTTTGATTCAGATTCAATACAGGACTGCATATGTCTGAACCAGATTTTGCAAACTGTTCAGATCAGTTTTGTTTTTTTGTGAATGGAAAGGTCTCAGGTCCTCATATGTAATAAGGCACTATATTGATGAGGACTTTAGAAGTGCTAATTAATATTAGTATGCAGGCAAGAATGCTTATATCTTTTCTACTGTTGTAAATTAGTCTGTGCTCTTTTTTTGCCTTATTCAACAGAATTTAGCCTCCTGGAATCCTTCAGACCCTGAATGCCTCCTGCTTGTTGTGAAAGAGCTTGTCCAGCAATATCACCAATTCCAATGTAGTCGATTACGCGAGAGCTCTCGCCTCATGTTTGAATACCAAACTTTACTTGCGGAACCCCAGTATGGAGAGAACATGGAAATTTATGCTGGCAAAAAAAACAACTGGGTAAGTTATTAAGAGTACTTCTGCTAAGAACACAATATACTAGTGCTTTCAGAATTCCTTTTACTATAGTAATTCTAGCCATTACCTTGTAAAATAGAGTTATTTGTATGATGTGTGCACACATATACTGTGTGTTTACAGTGGTGAAAGAAAACATGTTTGCCCCAGCTCACAGTCTGCACTCTCCCCTCCCTCTTTTGTTGACTGCTTCCATTCCATTGTCTCTATTGAATCTGATTTCCATGTGAAAGACTGCCTTCAGACCTGATGGCAGTGTAGCTGGTTTACAGATGGTAAATTTGTTTTGAGAATCATATCTTCTGTCCCACCAAAGCTATGTCTGCATGAGAAGGCTTTTTCTGGCAGAATTATTTCAGTTAGGGGTTTGACGGAGTGTGATTTTAACTATGCTGTCAAATGTCCTTACTACAGATACAGTCACACTGGCAAAAGTGTAATTTTGTCAGTGTATCTATAGCCCCACTAGTAACACTTTTCCAGTATAGTTGTACCAGCAAAGCCTCCTAGCGTAGACATAGCCTGAATGTCCTTAAAATTTTCAAATTCCATACCTTCAGGGTCTGGATTTTAGTTTCATTGAAGGCACGTGTAAACTACATTCATCTTTTGAAAGAGGAATGTAAATTAGGCAAATCGAAAGTGCAAATGAAACACAGATTTAAATATTCTGTGCTTCATTTGCATAGTCGTGTCTGAGAGCTTTTTCGAAAAACCTTTTTTCGAAAGTGAAAGCGCAGTCTAGATGCGGTTCTTTAAAAAAAACAAACCCTTTTTTTGAAAGAACCTGTACTCCTGAAAAAATAAGGAGTACGGGTTCTTTCAAAAAAGGGTTTTTTCCCCAAAAGAACTCTGTCTAGACTGCATTTTCACTTTCGAAAAACCCTTTTTCGAAAAAGCGCTTGGCTGTGAATATGCAACTGAAGTGCGGGATATTTAAATCCATGCTTCATTTGCACTTTCGATTTGCCTAATTTACATTCCTCTTTTGAAAGAGGAATGTAGTCTAGACATAGCCTAACTGAACCACACTATCTGAGGATTGTAGATAGCACAGGATAGTTGATTATGTTATAGTTAGCACTGTCAGTTCTTCAGACCCTTTTTTATATATCATCTGACCAACTTTTTGATAGTGACTTGGTCTCATAAGTCCTCTTTTGTAAATCACAGTACTGCATCTGGTTAAACACTTTATTCAGGTACAAAATGCTGAGATGAAATGTAGGGAAGTCCTTTCACGATTGTTGCTTGGAAAGCATGCTCTAGAAAAATAGCTCACTGTACCTATGTCTAAATATTTTGTGCTGAAATGTGGAAGACCTTCATATTTTTAGTTTGCAGACTTGTATTCAAACTCTAGTAATTATTGTAGTTAATCAAAAACTGTAGTTGATTGCAAAAGACTACTATGAACGCCTTTATTTCTAGTACTTCTAACTTTCGGGCGCAATCCAACACGGATGGAAGTCAATAGGAATCTTCCCTCTGATTTCAGTGACTGATAGTTTTTAAAGGATTTGTCTTTAGCGTCAAAGCTTCTTTTTGTCTCAATTTGAAAAAAAAATTGTTCAAATAAATTTTGAGCCTTTTAAAAATTATGGGAGGGTAGAAACATTCAATTTGTTGGACTATAAATAAACTATGGACACATTTATTGTAACAGATAAAAAATCTTAATTTTAAAATGTATTTGCTGCTAAAGAGAACATATATGAAAATGAAGACCCTGCCCCAAGTAGCATGCAGTATAAACAGAAACCTTGTATATTTCAAACCTAATACAGTGTTATAAATAAAAGGACCATAGATGAGTCTTGAAAAACTCTCTTACAGTGTTTAACTATGCACAGATCCTAACACAAGCTGGTGAACTTAACTCAGGGGTGAGCAACCTGCTGATCACAGGCTGCATGCAGCTCATCAGGGTAATCTGATTGCAGGCCATGAGACATTTCGCTGATGTTTGACTGCCCACACACATGGCTCTCTGCAGCTCCCAGTAGCTGTGGTTTGTCATTGCTAGATAATGGGAACTGTGAGAAGCAGCAACCAGCATATCCTTGTGGCCTCTTCGCCTGCACACACTGTCCCCACAACTCTTGTTGGCCGGGATTACATTGATGGGCCTCATGGAGGCCACGAGTTGCAGGTTGACCATCACTGGCTAAACTTGTCAGGCTCTTGGACATTTATTGTGGAAACACTTTTTGGAAGAAATTGGATTTAGGAATATTATGAGTATGGCAAAGGATACTAGGGCCACCTCTTCACTATGCAGTAGATCGACGCTGCAGTGATCTTCCGGGATTTGATGTAGCAGGTCTAGTGAAGACTGCTAAATTGAACTTAGAGTGCACCTCTGTTGGTGCTGGTACTTCTACTCCTCATAAGGAGTAAGGAAAGCTGATGGAAGCATTTCTTCCTGTTGACCTCCTGCTATGTGAATGGTATGGAAACATGATTTAAGATACATCAACTCCAGCTACGTAATTAACTTAGCTGGAGTTGCCCATCTTAATTCAACCTTCTGCTGTAGTGTAGAACAGGCCTAGGAGACATGGGATGTGGAAAGTATTTTTCAATAATAAATGAGTGCTATGCTACGTTTGGAGAGAAACTGTTTGAACTTTGGAATGATTTCTATGGAAATTTTACCAGGTGTATATTTTAATATGTTCTATGTAGAATTTCTGTTCACCTCACACACTGAGAGAGACACAGATTGCATGCCCTGTTATTGAGTACATAATGTACCTAATCCCTACATATACATGCAGACTCTCATTTACACACCAAGGCTACGTCTACACTACATGTTTTTGCAGCAGAAAATACGTAATAAGGGACATGAGTTGGGACATCATTAGCATATTTTCTGTCGTTTCTTTTTGCGCAAGGGGAGAGGCATAAGGATCTTGCGCAAAACGGGGATTTTGCACAAAAAGGAAAGGTCCACACTGCTTCTTTTTGTGCAAAAATCCTTGCGCAAAAAAAACCTGCAAGAAATATGCTAATGATGTTATGACTCATGCTAATGAGTCCCTCATTAGCATATTGTCTGCCATAAAAACATGTAGTGTAGCTGTAGCCCATATGAATTATACTTGAATATAATAATTTAATATTTTTACTGTTCTTCTGTTTCTGATCTCTTAACATTTTTCAGCCCCTATGGAAATAACTTCAAACAACTCTGTTAGTTCAATATTAAAGATGAACAAAAATATCCAGAAATGCTGAACTTAACACCAAATACTCAACCTTGAATTTGCCCTCATTAGCTTTAGGAAAAAGTATTGTTTTTTAAAACAGTATAGGTTTGAGTAATTAGATAGCAGATCTGTAATGCATATGCAAAAATAAGGCAGACTTAAAAGTCACCTGACCTAGCCTCAGTATACCCTGTTTTTTGTTTGGTTAACTGTGTAAAATTACTGTTAGAATTATTATAGGGGGAGTTTTTTTTAGTAGATTATAAAAAAAGACAAACTTCTTCACTTTCTTGACACAGTGCATGAAATTTCCTTACTTTGTCTCAGCATGGTTATAATCATTAGAAAATCAGCCAACATGTATTTCCTTCTAGATGAACAAGAGTCTTCTCATAGCCAGGTGGATAATGCTAATTTTAAGGAAGTGTATGAAACAGAAAGGAAATCCTTCCCATTTCCGTTGCATACATTTGACGCATGAAAAACAGCAATGCGTTAAGGAGAGTTTGGCAATATTACAGCATATAACAGTTGCAAGCAGTCCTCTAGATGGTACAATTTACATAATCCTGAAGAAAAAGTATGGAAGCCCCTCTTAACCAGTTCTTTTTCACACTAATTTAAATGCTACTTCTGATCCATCTACACTGTTTTCAGCTCAAGTTTGCACATCTTAAGATCTCTCCAAGTTTGCTAATAGTAGAATAAAACAGAAGATGTGGAGAATGATGCCATCACTTTCCCTTCCTGATTATATGATTTGACACATTTCAGTTACCCTCTGTAAACCTGTTTGCTGGGGTCCTAGGTCCCTGGCCTGTGCTCAGGCCTGTAAGTAAAAGTCCAGTGGCTCCTTTCAAACTGTGGGCCCTGAGAGCATGTCAGGCAGCACTACAAATGCAGTCCCAAAGTTAATACGACTAGGCCCTGGTTCAGGGCGGGGCAGTCAAACAAACGTTGGCATGAGGGGGAGACTGCCACCCGGTATGTGGGGTGGCAGGGGGGGACATGGGCCGTCCCTACTCTACCACATTCCAGCCCAGGGCCCTAGCAGTGACAGCTCTGGCTGCCACTGAGGTCAGCGGGGATCTGGCCTGTAATACACCAGCCCCCCTCTAAAGTGTTATAAGACAATTGTCGGTTTACCCTGGGCCACTGCCTAACTCCCCCTCGGCATCAACCTGGCTTCATGCTGTCTGCTGGTTCTCAGGGTCATGGTAGTCTGGACCCTTGGGCAGGGTAAAGAAGATCTCTTCTTCGGAGCAAGGGCCCGGTAGTCTGGGCCAGTCTTCAGCCTCTGCCAGGTTCTTAGGGCCTTCCTGGCTTGGGAGCTCAAGAAAGGCCTCTGCTTCCTCTGACAGCTGGGCCCCTACTGAGCTATTGGGCTGTGCTTTTATACCCCTTGCCCTGCGGCTTCCAGGGAGTTCAAGGAGCAGGACTGGGTTTGGCCCTCCCAGGCTTAGAGAGGGGTTCTTCCCCCTCAGGGTCAGTGAGTGGCCACCTCTGCTCTCACTACACCCTCATAAGCAAAAGCTTTACATATAGAAGCCAGTCTCGAAGTTCTGAGTACCTTTCTTTATTTTTGATAAATACTGCACCATTGAAGTCAATGGAACCAATATTGAGCCCTTCACAGATAGAATAATTTCATTGCTTGGAGGCAGGTATGGTCATTTTCTTTCAAAGAAACGGGCTGTTACCCAGATGTGCAAAGGTGATCTGCCCTAATGAAAGGAAATAGGAGTCCTTTCTCAGTGAGAGAATTCCATTTTATAGTTTGTTTTCAAACAGCTCATCAGATTTATGGCATCCTCCAAACTCAAATTATAGCTCTGGTACTTCTAGTTGGTCCAGGAACCCATATCATAATCCAATGTGTATTCTGATTTCAGTGAAACTTTCTTTGCTCATTTCTGTTAGTTGACAGAGTGAAATGTCCAGTATGGATGAATTGTGGCCAGATTTGAAAGCTAAAATTTAGTTTCCAGGCTACAGTGACACACGGTATTTATTGTGACCGGGTAAGGCCAGAGGGAAACAAAAGAGTAATGGAAAGGAGGTGTATTAGTAAATCTCTGTTCCCAGGGTAACTGGCAGGGACTAATCCAGAATCAGCGAGAACTTGCTAAAGTCAATCAGGGCAATTGAGCATCTGGAGTTACTTAAGTGGGTTTACAGAGTCAGCTGAGCCTAGGCTAGTTAGAACACCTAGGGGCAATTAAAGAACCAGTTGAGACTGGTTATAAAAAGACTTCTCAAGCAGTTAGCGCGTGAGGAGCTCTGAGAATGGAGAGGGTGTTGTAGGGAGTTTAGGAGGAACAAGTACCAGTAGATACTACGGGTATGTCTAGACTGCACCCCTCTGACAGCAGAGGGAGGCAGATTAGGCAGGTTGAAATTGCTAATGAAGCAGGGGATATTTAATTCCCTGCTTCATTAGCAATTTTGACCTGCCTAATCTGCATCCCTCTGCCGGCAGAGGGATGCAGATTAGGCAGGTTGAAATTGCTAATGAAGCAGGGGATATTTAATTCCCTGCTTCATTAGCAATTTTGACCTGCCTAATCTGCCTCCCTCTGCTGTCAGAGGGGTGCAGTCTAGTCATACCCTAGGAGGAAGAGCCTGAGAAAAGAAAGGTGCTTGGGAAGTAGTGGGGAAGTAGCCCCGGGGTTTTGTAGCTATCTCACAGCTGGTGTTGAAGACTTTTAGGGTACATCTAAACTACATCCCTTTTTTGCTAAAGGGTGAGGGTTACAGGATCTTTTGAAATAGGGCAATTTGTCGAAAGATCCCCGTCTTGACTGCGGGGTTGTTGTTTTTCCGAAAAAGTCCTGTTTTGGAAAAAAAGCCGCAGCCACTATTATGTAAATGAAGCACAGGAAATTCAAATCCCGGCTTCATTTACAATTTCAATACATCTAATTTACATTCCTTTATTGAAAAAGGGATGTAGTTTAGATGTACCCTTATAGGCAACTGTTCTTATAATGCCCTGGGCTGGAACTGGGAGTAGAGGGTGAGCCCAGGTTCTCCCCAGTATCAATTTCCACTCAGGGAAAAGATGTTTGGGGAAGAGAAAGAGGTTTACCCAGCCCTGTATCAATTGGGGATTCACCAAGACTGTAGAGTTTGGTTTCCCTCTGTATCTTATGCTTGCCAATGATGAGAGTAGCTCAACAAACAGCAAGATGATGCCCTAGGTGTGGTGCCTAAATCGAGGACTGCTGTAAGACTCTGAGGCAAGCAATCCTCCTGAAAGTACAGGACCCTCCAAGTTTGAGTAAGAACTTTCTCACAGCATAAATGCCTATATAAAAAGTAACTCCATTGCCATTCAGGTTATGTAGCTCTCTTTATAAAATCAAAGCATCTAGTAATCTTTTTTTATTATTATTTTTCAGAGAGGGGATACTATCCCGTTTTGGGAACTAATGGTTGAAAAATGTTATATAACATTTCTGAGTTGGGAGAAGAGGAAAACTATACTCACACTCTTGTTTTTTCTTCCACTAGAACAACTTATAAATTTTCTAATATACTTTTGTCATAGAAAGGTCTTGGACAGTTGGATAGGTAAATGTCTAAAGGATTTTTCAGTCATATTCTATATCCCTGGATATAGATATATATAGTAGGTGTCTATTAAAATTGTAACCTTGTTACATCCCTTTTTTTCTCAACAGATCTCTTCAGTTGTAAAAAAAAGGACATTTCTATGTATATGTGATTTATTCTGTTGGTAGGAAAAAAATCTCTTTAACTGATACCACAGTACTTTCACACTATTTTTTTGTTTGGCTTTTTTTACTGTAGCAAGAAGTGTTGATAAGATTTGGTACGGCTGCTGTCTCTTTAGTTAGTAGTAGTAACTAAGCCAGTTCTTCCAAGAAACATTTAGGCGGACACTATATTAAGTAAATGTATTATCAAAATACCTCCAATGAATTCTCCTTTTTTTAAAATTAAGATGTGCACAAGGCATGCTATTTTCTGATGCAATTAAGTATTATACTGGAACACACAAATAGCCACATTTGCAAAAGTGCTCAGTACTTACAAATGGAGAGTACTTTTAAAAAGAAATCATGCTGAGTTTCCACTATGGCACCTAAATGGAATGTCAATTTTTTCTTACCATTCTCAATGTGAGCTAGTGAGTTCTGAGCACTTTTGAAACTCCAGGCAATACATTTAGATGCCTAACGGAGAACTCTTGGGTCCCAAACTCTTTAGAAAATCTAGTCCTAAAATTAATTTGTAAGCACTTCAGGATACTGACTGTCTATATCTGTGTTTGTTACAGTAGGACCATCATCATGATGAGGATGTTTAAGTGACATCACAGTAGAGACATTATATTACAGTGTATTCAGTATGGAATTGTGAATGGAAGAACAGTATGGAAGAAAAGTAATTCTTTTGCCTGGCATGTTTAAATTAAGAGTCCTTTAAAGACATACCTATTTAGTAGTCAGGATGTAGTTTGTACAACACATTATTGATGACCTTAATGCCCCCCTTATAACTGTAATTTGAGTTTTCATCAGATATTTACATTCATGGGAATAATTTATGCTAATACATGTAATCCATTTGTTAAAAGACTAGGATGAATGTTAACTTGTGACAGCAGAAGCAATGACTTCAGCAGTGATTAATAAAGAGAAGCCATAGAGCCTGGTCTAATCTAAATCTAGTTTCTTATATGGTGCCAGCCATTATGCTCTCTAAGAACCTTTTTTACCGTTGATTCAGTGAGAGAAATGCCCTTACAATTTTGCAGTACATTGCCATATTGCTTAATATGAAAGCTGTAAATAAATGCTTTTTTAAATTTTCAACAATTACCATTGAAAGCTGTTGCTTAACTCTTCCTCTGTCAGACCTTTTCTCCCAAGTTGTTTGAAGATATTGCCTTGCTAAATATTTCAGTCTGAATAAGTTCAGCTTCTGACCCTGTCTGCTGTAGACAACAGAGAGTAAGACCACTGTAGCTGTAGGTCTCATTAGTTTTGTTTCTTTTTCTGCAGACTGGTGAATTCTCAGCTCGCTTCCTTTTGAAGTTACCAGTGGATTTCAGCAATATTCCCACATACCTTCTCAAGGTAAAATAAGTGACTGTATTGATAGTGTTCATTTTATGAGAAAGTTTGGATGAGTGAGATATTCCCAGTAATAATTTAATTTTTAATCTCGTAAATTTAGCTAAGAAACTGAAAATCAGACCTTTCAAAAATTGTGCATGGTGAGGTAGAAAAGTGTCAGTAGAGTTACTGTGTATTCCTGATTAAGTTTTCCTTCCAAATTTACAATGAATTATGTTTATTACAATGCACTATGTAACAATGGAAGGATTTTTTCTTCCAAATGAAAAAAATCACTGATTTTTTTTCTGAAGTTTTACTTATTAAGACAGGGATGGAGGGGAAAACCCATGTGGATTAATTGACTAACAAAACTAACATTGGTTGATTAGATTCCATCTTAAAGATTATGCAGGAGCCTAGGGTTCATGAAGTCCATTTTATTATTGTGCTTATTCTGACCATACAACTCTTCTTCCTACTTGCCTAAAACTGTAACTTATTGTGATATAATGATAATGTAGTATTATCACCAATGTCAGAAAAGCAGTGCAAGAATGAATCCAAATATAATCGTTAAATCTGTTCAGCTGTTGGGATGGAACGGATGGTGATTTTTGCCTGATAAGCAGTGGTTTGCTGCAGCTGTTTTTCGTCATCTCTGTTCTTTGTGGTTTGGGTACCCACAAAAGGTGTGGGATGTGCACATGCACTACATGCTTAAAATGAGTTTTCTTTATAAGATAGAGTATTTAAATAAGGGCTTGAGGCATTGAAAATGCAGGCACTATTTATAAGCTATTTTCATGTGCTTAATTCAAGAAAATACAGGCACTGTACTTTTCCTGAGTATGTGCTTCATTAAACCGTCATGCTCAGTTTACAGTCAACTAACTCTTCATTATGCACCAATGATTTATATAATCCAAGCAGGGGTGATGTCTGACACAATACAGCAGGTCCCCTGGACCTAGTCTTATTACAAAAAAACCCCAAACAAACACATGTAGTAAAGCAAAATGAAGAACTTCTTGAAAAGGTCTAATTATTTTTCTGTCCAGAACGTTTGTATTCACAGAGGTGCCCATGCCTCTTGTATCACTCAGTTGTCTCATTTAGGTATCTAATTAAGATCCGTGAGTAAGTATTTAGGAATATTTATAAGCAATTTATTAAAGCATTAAATACTGTTTGGCATAAACACTATCTTTATTTTGGTAAGAGAATATTTTTCCTCTTGTAGGTTTTGATTTTCTCCCTTTTCTCCAAAAGGTATATGATAAATACAACTTCATTATGTATGACACATTCTGTACAGGAGAAGATTCAAAGAACTTTACAGAGTTTTATATATTACCAGTCTGAGAGGTCCTCTCTGCTGCCAGAAATGAAAGGGACCCGGATCTGAAATTTCTATTGTGTTAGGGATAGATCATAAGACCTTTGAACCAGTTAATATGGTTTCTGCAGCTTTCTAGTGATCCATGGGGTTGGAGGGAGAAAGAGAGGTAAAATGCTGGCCAGTTCTATGAGCTACAAGAAAGAACCAAGCTTACAAACTCTTGAGACAATTCTAGAGAAACTCTGTGAATTTGTAGAGCTTAATTTCCCCCAAATTGGCTTTTCCCATATAGAGCTCAATTTGTGTCATCAGAATGAAATAGTAGTAGAAGGAACAGAGAAGTTAAGAGGTAAGATGAAGGTCCTCCAGAATGTGGTTTTTCTGTAATAAATTTACTGTGGATTTCTGAAATATGATATATAATAATATTCCATAAATAGTTCTGTGGTGCTTCAGAAAATGTACTGTGTGGCAGGATAGCACTACTTGGTGACCTTATAAGCAACAATAAAGGCAATTGTTTTCAAATCTCATGTGAAAAGAATATGATAGTAGAATGCACATAAAGTATAGTAATAGAAGGATACTATTTCAGATGTAATAATTTGCAGAAAAGAAGACTCTTACACTTATAGTGGTATGTCATACAGGCTAAGAGAAAACTAATTATTAGATAAGTGGAGTAGGGAGAGACAGGATCCATAAAAGTAGAGTTGAACAAGCCCAGAGAGGGTTTTAGAATGAGGATACTGGTTTTCCACTAGATCCTGAATGAATGAGGAGCTTATGAAGATATTGCAGGAAAGGCTGTTTTGGTGCAAACACTAAGAATAAGTATTTATTAGATAGAGCTACGTTGGGTTATTGTGTGACATTGTGGAGTATGTTTTAATGTTGGGAATTCTTATTATTCACTTGAAAAACCATAGAAATATAGGACTAGTAGGGATCTCAGTAGGGAATCTTGTCCAGTCCCCTGCACTAAAGCAAAACTAATATTATCTAGACCATCCCTGACAAGTATTTGTCTAACCTGTTCTTAAAAGCTCCAGTGGTGGAGATTCCACCACCTCCCTAAGTACTTTAATTCCTTAACTACCCTTACAGTAAGAAAGTGTTTTCCTAGGGCGTGTCTAGATTACATTCCTTTTTCGAGAAAGGGATGTAAATTAGGAATGTCAATATTGTAACATTATGTGCTTCATTTGCATAATGGTGGCCACTGCTTTTTTTTCGAAACGGGACTTTTTCGAAAAAAAGAAAACAAAACGGCAGTTTAAAAGGGGATCTTTCGAAAATAAACCCTTTTTCGAAAGATCCTGTACTCCTCAAAAAATGAGGTTTACAGGATCTTTCAAAAAAGGGTTTTATTTTCGAAAGATCCCCATCAAACGGCCGAGTTTTTTCGAAAAAGCCCTGTTTCGGAAAAAAGCGGGGGCTGCCATTATGCAAATGAAGCATGGGAAATTCAAATCCCGGATTCATTTGCAGTATCGACATGCCCAATTTACATCCCTTTCTTGAAAAAGGGATGTAGTCTAGACACACCCCTAGTATCTTACCTAAATCTTTCTGGCTGCAATTTAAGCCCATTACTACTTGTCCTGTCTTTAGTGAATAAAGGAACAATTTATCACCCACCCTTCTCTTTATAACAGTCTTTTACATACTTCACTATTATCATATCCTCCAATGGTATTCTTTTCTCCAGATTAAACAAACATAGTTTTCTCAATCTTTCCTTAGAGACCATGTTTTCTAGGCCTTTAATATTTTGTTGCCACCCCTCTGGAATTTTTCCTATTTTCCACATCTTTCCTGGACAGTGGAACCCATCATTGATATGCTACAAGAACTATATGTGTTTTACATAAATGGTACCACATTCATAGTTAGCTTGGCAATTTTTAGAAAGTGTACTGCTAATTGAATGAGCCCAGTCACTGTGAAAAGATTCTGTGGTTATCTATCTTCATTTTGTCCACGGAATGACTTTCCTCAGATGACTTTGTCTAGCTGGTCATCTGAGGAAGTGGCCTGTGCCCATGAATGCTCATAACACCATCTACATGTTCTGTTAGTTTTTAAAGTGCTACCAGATTATTTGTTGTTTTTTCAAGTTTTTAGACTTTCTTTGTTCATTGAGTGTCTGCTATTCCCCCTCATTCTCTCGTTTACAAAACTTCTTCAGAGGTGAATCATCTTCCTACATCTTGCAGGATTTTTTGTAGGAGAACATGAATCATAATTAATCTATTTCTCAACAAATCTAGAGCTTGATTGGTGTATGATATCCTTAGACAAGTAACTGCTCTATTTGTCAAGCATGTTTGAGCTGTGTCTTTGCTGTATACTATAAAGATAACAAAACGTGTGTAAAGGGTGCGTCTAGACTACATTCCTCTTTCAAAAGAGGAATGCAAATGAGGGACATTGAAAATGCAAATGAAGTGCTGATTTACAAATCTTACGCTTCATTTGCATAATCCCTTCCGATCACTTTTTCGGAAGATTTTTTCGGAAAAAAAAAAGCAGTCTAGACGGGATTCTTTCAAAAAAAATAAACCTTTTTCAAAAGAACCCTTATTCCTGAAAAAACGAGGTTTACAGGATTCTTTTGAAAAAGTATTTTTTTTTGAAAGACCCCTGTCTAGACTGCCTTTTTTAAAAATCTCTTCCGAAAAAACAATTGAGATTTGTAAATTAGCGCTTCATTTGCATTTTTTATTTCTCTCATTTGCGTTACTCTTTCAAAAGAGGAATGTAGTCTAGATGCACCCTAACTGCGTAACCACTGAAAACTACACTGGTTACACAGTTACATGTGGGGCGGCAGCCAGCTCCCTGGAAGCCGGTGTGTCCCGGGGCCAGCTCCCCGCATGTACCGGCTCCCACCTGCCAGCCCATGTTGGTGCTTCTGATACAGAGGCAGCAGCCCAGGGCAGTAGGTGGCTCCCGGGGAGTTGTATGCAGTCGTGTAGCCATTTGGGTACCCGTTTAAACAGTGATACTTTTACATCCCTACTGTGCTACAAGTGGGTACTAAGGGGAAAACTAAAGGTACCATCTTCCTATTCCATATAAGCAGGAGAGGATCTCTTCATCGGATATTCCCAAGGGCTCTGAATTAGAAGCTACACACTTCAGGTGAAAGGATACGTTTTGCTGTCTCAAAAGCAGGTCCCATTCTCTGTCTAAACATTCATGCTTAATGATTAACATGTTTGAGCTGGTGACTTGTGCTTCTGTTTTCCGAGCATCGCAGAAGTTAGACAGTATGCTGTACTGGCAAAAAAGTCACCAAAAAGTCTGGCACACCATATTATCTACTTGTAGTTGGTACAATATATTGGAAAGACATCATCCCTAGGTCCTCCACAGGTCTGCCTCTCCTCTGGCTCCCTCTGCACAGCACCAGCCCTGCAGGAGAAAGGGATTGGGAACAGTACAGCAACTGTGGAGGAGCTATTGGCATTGTGCTCATTTCCTCACTGCCCTTCAAAGCGGGGAGAGGAGCAGAACCCCATTCCTGTCCTCTGGCTGCTGTACAGAACTGAAGAAGAGGCCGTTTTACTATTTAAAAAAATATATATTACCCGTTCTCTATCTTCTTTTGCTATGGGAAACATTTGCTAAGTAGGCTAATTGCTGGGGTGTAATTATGAAATGAGACTTAGAC